CTTACCTACAAGAGATAGAACCAAAATGAGTAACAAAGATAAATATGATGCATGAAACTACTAATATGTTGCAAACTCATATGTCCAAATCACTACTCCCGCCACTTATGGAGTAATTTTCAGAATTATAGTCCCATTCGTGCTCGGAAGGATCATACCAATCAAAGTACCAAGGAAAATCCATCTTATTGATCAAAGAGTTAATAATGTAATTTAACTTCATTCTAAACGGTGGAGGATTTATAGGTTCTCCAACATGATCAACGACTACACCTTTCTGTTCATCTCTATATCCAAACATGAATGTCCAAAAGTTTTGTCTATCTTCAGGAAGGGGACTTATGAGGTCTAAGTCATTGGTTGGTGCATGGGGTATAGTGAGACATCTCATTCTCAAAACACGGTGTAGAGGTGTCATGGGTCTTATTTGGACCCAATCAACATAGCATTCCAACCATTCAGGTCGAAAGAATACAACCATCTTAATGATAGTGCCCGGAAGTACACATAAAGTTCTATTTGAAAAGATAACATCAAAAATAGTATTAATAAGTCTAAAGAATATTTGATAACAAGGTTCATTGTTTTGCAATTCATATAAAATTTGGCACATGTTATCATCAACTCTAGAGGGGTTCTCATAACCAAATATATTAGTTGTCATCCACATCAAAACGAGAGCTTGATTATTACAAAATTGACTTGTGTCTAAGGTTCCACTATTAGCTTCTACACATGGTAACAAAATATGAGATAACTTTAGCACATCGTATACGGGTTTGTTACAGTTATACCACTTATCCATCATATAATTGTAATTTTCATAAAAAAGTGTGTTGTATACCTAAGGATTGGCCAAACATACCCAGACATACGTATAAGATATCTCCATGCATTCTAACATAAAAAGCCAGGTTTTTCCTCACTATGTACTATTTAATGTTCCGATAAAATTCCCTCACAAAAGTCGGTGAATAAGTCTCATTACCGTAAAACTGAATATTTTTCCATTCCATATTACTAAGTTTTTCAAAGAAATAACTCCACCATGGAGACATCATTAAGTCCATATAACTACGTTCGGGAACGATGTTCCAATACATAGCATGTCTACAAATCGGGGTTTTGAATTCAGGATGATTGTCAAGAAATTCAATAATTTTAGCAAAACGAAGTAAACGTTTTTCTCTTTGTGTCGGGGTAAGAGATATCTTTGATTCTACCCGTGTTATTCTAATGAAAGGAACACAATTATAAGTATTAAAATAATGGAAAAAATCAAACGAGGAACATACCTGAAAAAATTGCAGAAAATCAAAAAAATTTGGGAATCCTGTGAAACTCGCGTGGGGCGAGTTGCCTGAAACTCTGAACTCGCGTGGGGAGAGTTAGTCAGTACCAACAAAAAAAATTTCTCTGATTTTTTTTTTTTTCTTCCACTTTTTGTAGTTAAAACAACTTATTCTAAAGTAGGTAAGATAGTTTTTGGTCGTCCTTTATTTATAGACTTTTGGTTTTGGACTTCGATTTCGTTTAGAATTCGATTTTGTCCAAAACTCCAAGTTTGAGTCCAAACTGTCTTGGGAGTGTTCTAGGTCATCCAAAATACTTCAAAACATATCCGTAAGTGTTCTAAGTCTTCTAGAAACGAAAATTGGTGTCCTAACCCTAGTCCAACATATATTTGACCTAATTTAGGGGTTTTTTTAGGGTTTTTAGGGTTATTTTTTCGAATTTCTATGGAATTTACAATTTCGTATACGTGTAATTCATAGCACTAGTTTATTCTTCACCCCCAAACAGAATGTTTGTATGTGAACATGTAAATAAGTGTCCGGGAATGTAAAATTAACTAAGAATGCTAAAAACACACATGTTTATACAAAATTCATTTCTTTCATTAATTTCATCGTTTACATATAAGAAATGAAAATTTCCAATATTTAATTGAATTTAAATATACCAAAGCATAAATAAAGTAAAAACAACTTAGGACTCGATCTTAAAAACTTAGACTCAATCTTAAAAACTTAGACTCGATCTTACTATTACAATACTACTACTACTTTACTCATCATCTTCATCATCTCCGTCCTCACTCGTAGTGGGACCTTCACTCTCACTCACCTCGGGCATAGGTGTTGGCCCCATAACATGCTCTTTAAGGTCGGTGAGGTCCATATCCAAGTTTTCAATCCTCTCATTGAGCGTCTGGAATTGTTGGACCACATTTGCATGCATGTGGGCCATGGCCATCATGAGCACCCTTCCGATAGCATTGGGATCCGTGATCCCATCTAAACACGTGAGCTCTAGGGTGTTTTTTCCATCGGCTTGGACTCCTTGCATTTGCCTTTCTCTCAAGGCTTCCTCCATGTCTCCTTCATACCAAACATTCTTCACACACAGCAACCGGATGGCCTTTGAAACGACCATCCGATTGAAAGAAATGTAGGTTCCTTCTGGTGTAGGCAACTTCCAAACATTGCGCCATATCTTTGTATTGAGGACCGGAAGTACCGCTTTCTTGGCGGTTGTGATGGTGTTGTAAAGTAATCGGATGATGTAGAAATTCTTATTCTTCGTCTGAAGCTGCCATAGGATGTGAGCTATGGTTCGGTTAATGTCCGTTGGTTTTGAGGTGCCAAGGACATTATACCCCAACCAATAGGCCACCATTGCTTGGTTGTGCCTCGAAGAGTTGAAGGTGATGCAAGAGGAGCTTCTTTACCTTTCTTTCGATGGTCATGCGAGGAGTGAAGTGAGGGATATCGTGAATAGGAGTTTGAAGGTGGGGGTTTTGCATGATGGGGATTTCGAGGGCATCGCTAATTGTTTTCCACCTCAAATCATACTCTACCCCTAGATAGGCAATGAAGCAACTCCCATCACTACAAAGATTGAGGTTAGAATAGAAGATATCAACAATGGTTGGATGCCATTGATCAGCCTATCTATAAAGGAGGTTTTTTCACCCCCTAGTTCGAATTTCTTTTCGAAAGAAAGGTCGAACCAAGTGGTCCTTAAAAATCCTTCTAAAACAATTCTCTACAAGCACCTTTCTACCCCTAGGAATCTCTACAAAAGCCATGAAGAAGAGAAGGAAAAGATTGGAGAAAAAGGGATTTCGAAATTTGAAAAAAAAAATAGCAGAATCTGGAATATTCGCGCGGGGCGAGTTGAGAGAGGAACTGAACTCGCGTGAGGCGAGTGACTCACAAATAGATTTTTGAAATTTTTTTTGTAATTTGGTCGAAATTGAGAGAGAAATAGGAGCAAAGAGTAAAACCTAGGAGAGAGAGAAAGTTGTGAGGTTTAAGGTGTGATGAGAGTGTAGAGAATGGGGGTTTATATAGAAGTTGAGTGTGGGAGGGGAAAAGGTTTTTAACTTAAACAATAACTCATTGTTTTAACTTAAACAATAACTCATTGTTTTAACTCCTAACCACTAACTCTCCATTAAACACATACATCCACCAACTAAACCATTATTTACTTCATCTTCTCCACACGTTCCCACGTTTCCTAACTCATTGTTTTTATGTTGTCCCATTGTCTATCATACGTGTAAGTTATCATATTTCTCACGTGATCGAGTTTTTAGAGCAGTAAAAATGTTTTTTTTTTTATAAAAACAACAAATTAAAAAGGGCCTAAGTTGCCTCCTAGTAGAGCTTAATTTTACGTCTTTAGCTAGACATAAAGGTGACATTTGCATGTTACCCCCAAACAAAACATTAACATGTTTCGAAAATTATGAAGGACTTTCATCATCTAAATACACCGGCATAATTAAATCTACCATTTCCACATCTTTAGTTTGTAATTCCAAATAAGGTTTCAAACGGTGACCATTAACTTGAAAAACAATTCCATCTTTTGGATTTTCTAATTCTATAGCACCACAATGTAAAGTTTTTGTAAATACAAAAGGTCCAGCCCACCTTGTCTTAAGCTTACCCGGGTGTAAATGTAGACGGCTTCTATATAATAACACTTTTTGACCTACATAAAAAAAATTTCTTAAAATTTTAGCTTCATGCACTCTTTTAGTCCTAACTTTGTAATCTTTTGCAATATCATAATCGTCACTACGAATTTCATCTAATTCATTAAGTGTTAACTTTCTATTTTTACTAGCTTCATCTATATCAAAATTTAATTTCTTATTGGCCCAATAAGCTTTGTGTTCCACTTCAACCAGTAAGTGACATGGCTTGCCAAAGACAAGTCTATAACGTAACATGCTAATGGGAGTTTTAAAAGCGGTTCGGTAGGCCCATAGAGATTCTAAAGCACGGTCACTCCAATCACTTCTATCGGGGTTCACCGTTTTTTTCTAAAATAGGCTTAATTTCTCTATTGGATACCTCAACTTGTCCCTAAGTTTGTTGATGATAAGGTGTTTCTATCCTATGTGTGATGCCATATTTTTCACATAAATTTTCAAAAGACTTGTTACAAAAATGTGATCCTTGTTGGTCACTAATAATGGTTTTAGGCACCCCAAACTTAGAAAAAATGTTTTCCCTTAGAAACATAGTCTACCGCGACTAGAATGTATAGAAAACCTTTGGACGGGGGAAACGGTCCCATGAAATCAATACCCCAAACATCGAAAATGTCAACTATCAAAATGTATTTTTGTGGCATTTCGTTTCTTTTTGAAATTTTACCTAATTGTTGACACCGGTGGCAATTTCGGCAATAAATATTAGCGTCATGGTACAACGTTGGCCAATAAAATCTATTTTGTAGAACTTTGGCCAATAAAATCCACTTTGTAGAACTTTGTAGGGGCTTAATTTGGTGGAATTATTTCTTATCTTATTCTATTTTTAGGTTTTTTCTTATTATTTTTCTTTTTTTTTTGTTAAAAATCCTCAAAAAAAATTGGTATAGAATCTAAATGCCTATTTTTTAGACGGGTTTTCCTGTTTCTTAGGCCTGGGCTGCCTAAGGCCACTAATTTACTTGAGTAGTTCCTGCTAAAAACTTGAAGATTTGAAGGAAGGGCTTGAACCTACGACCTTGTGCTTTTGAAGCCACACACTCTAACCAACTGAGCTACTCCAGCTAATTATGATCCTATGCCAAATTACAAACCGTTGTGGTTCAATAGATCAAATATTCACCCCATATAGATTTTTTCGCTCAGCTATCTTGCTAAATTCACATAAACAAAGAAAAGAGAGTTCCCACACAAGTATTAAAA